AGTTGCTAATCAGCCACTAAAATCTCACCTGGGGGCCTGGAGAGGACCCAGGTTCAGTTCCCAGCACCCACAAGCAGCTCTTAACTGCCTGTAATTCCAGTTCCAGGGGATCCCATACCCGTTTTGGGGCCTCTTCAAGCACCACCCACATACAGGGTGCACATATACACATGCAGGCAACATACAACATTGTAAACATCTTAAAACGTGAGTTTTTCCATGTGAGGGAAGGTGGGGGTTTGGAGGGTGTCGCTGTGTGACTGACACGTTCTGTGGCCCCTGGACTCCTTAAGGGTGGAGAAGGTGGGTGTTGACTGAGTCCAGCTTCTGGGGTCCTATAAAGCAGGCTGTTGTCCTCTTCCAGGAGTGGGGAGGAAGCTCAGAATCACCCATTCCCCTGGGCCTGTCTTTCATAATGATTTCTCAGCATTGACCATGGTTCTAACCACTAGGAGCCCTGATTTTAGGTTTCTCAAAGCGGTGAGCTTTGGTGCATGCCACCGGGTCACAGGTATCAGGGAAAAGCACACTCCTGTTTGCTGTCATTGCTTAGTACTAGGACCCTCATTTCTATTGGTGACAGAGAGGACCATCCTTCTGGTGGGAATTCTCGTCTAAATTTCCTAAGTACTGGTGCTTCAACTCCACTCCTTCAAAAGGATTTCTAGCAGTGGCTATTATTGCGTGGCTTCATTTATGCAGAGGGCAAGTTCAAGGAGAAGTCAACTAATGATGATTAAGTTAAAATAGTGGCTACTTCAGGCTGGTAGGAATGAGGAGGGACAGGGAGGGGCAGGGAGGAGCCTTCTGGAGGAGAAGGTGGTGTATTCTGAAGAGTCACTATGAGTGTGTGCCTGAGTTAAAACCCAATGATTTAGAGCAGGCTCAGGCTGAGGAGGCCTTAGAATTGTCATGCATGGGAAGCCAGCCAGAGCGACACACAGTGAGACCTTATCTCAAAGACCAACAAACAAACAAAAACTAAACCAGTGTGGCTCTATTGGGAGCGAGTGGAAACTTTGAGATGGGGCCTAGTTGGAGGTTTTCTAGCCACTGGAGTCTGACCCTTGAAGAAGATGGGGGGCCCCTCCTCTCTCCTCTTCTGCCACCCACAGACCCACAGCAACAGGGTCAGGTTATCATGGGTTGAAACCCCTAAAATCTGCAGTCAAAATAAAGCTCTCTTGGTAAGTAGCTCATCTCAGCCTTTTGTTATAAGGACAGACCACCGGGACACTTTGTTACAAGGACAGACCACTGACAGATACTTTGGTACAATGACAGACCACTGAGACACTTTATTACATTGACAGACCACTGACAGACACTTTGTTACAATGACAGAACACTGACAGACACTTTGTTACAAGGACAAACCACTGACAACACTTTGTTATAATAACAGAACACTGACAGATACTTTGTTACAAGGACAGATCACTGACAGACACTTTGTTATAATAACAGAACACTGACAGATACTTTGTTACAATGACAGAACACTGACAGACACTTTGTTACAAGGACAAACCACTGACAACACTTTGTTACAATGACAGACCACTGCAGATACTTTGTTACAATGACAGAACACTGACAACATTTTGTTACAATGACAGATACTTTGTTACAATGACAGACCACTGGACAGATACTTTGTTACAATGACAGACCACTGATGAACACACTACTCCATCAATAGGATAGATGGGTTCTGGTTTAAAAATTCTGGAGTGGTCATGGTTAGAATGTATCTAGACTATAAAACCACCAATGCTGAGGAGGCCCGGCCATGTAGGTTGGAAACTGTCATCAGAAGAGACAGGTCACCGTGAATGACTCTGGAGCAGTTTGACCTAGGGAAGTTGTCAAGTCTGAGGACACTTTCTGTATGCCTCTTTGGAGAGCCAATGGCTGCAAAGGGAGACACTTGCAGGGGCTTCAGGCTTAGAGCCCATGCTTGTTTTCAGTGAGAGAGGTCAATTTTGGATGAAAAAAAAAATGAGGACATGACTGCTTCTAGGTATGGTTGGGGTGAAAGTTACTGTAGATATGAGGTACAGCCAGCCAGAGACTTCTGGAAGGGTCCAGACTGAACTGGGCCATGAGCTGGGGTCAGGGGGTGGGTGGGATGGAGAGCAAGAGAAGAGGAGAAGAGAGAGGGGAGCAAGCAGACCAAGAGGCCAGGAGCAAGCCAGGAGACAAAGAGACCGTGTGTCCAAAATGGCTAAGTTATAGAGGGGCCAGAATCTGGCATAGGGAAGGAAGTCCAGCCCCTGAGAGGGAGGGGCTCAGGATAGTGGGCGGGGCGAGAAGTGCTGGAAGGAGCTGCAGGTATGGGTGAGACTTGTCCCAGGTTTCTCTAAGACCCGACAGCACAAGGAATTTTTTAGGAACTATGACTTTATCAGTGTGAGGAGCACGTGATAAAGTAGAGACATCTGTTTTGAGTGTTCCTTTGAGCCAAGTGACTGCTGTCGGGCGAGTTCAGCTGTGTCTCTGAGCAAAAGATTTATTCCATCTGGGCTTCTTGATTGCTTACACCCCTTTCATGGAGTTAAGAAGAGACACAAGACCCACACATGAGTATCAACAGCTCCTTGCTGTCTGTTGTATGAAATTGCCTGTGACCTTGGGGAGGAGCTAGAATATATAAAGGCCAGGGAACACAGTGGGGGGGTTCTATCTATGTAATTATGGGGAACCTTGATCCCTGCTGGGCAGAGCCTCTTCATGTGTCACTTACTGTGGGTTATGTGTGGATTGGACGGATCCCTGAGTGGATGTGCGTTGTTGGCGTGGACAATCGCTCCAAGGACTCCATAACCTCAGACTCATGGGGAAATGGCAAAGCCTCCCCCCCCCCCCCGCTGGTTCAGAGGGACGCCCCCCCCCCCCCCCCCCCGCTGGTTCAGAGGGACGACAACGCCTCCTCTGGTTTGCGTCTTGCTAGTGTTCCCAGAAAACGTTCATCGTTTTCACTTCTGGATGCTTACAGCCCAAAGACTGTTCCTGCCAAGATTAGCTAAACAGGTCTCTGATTCCGCTGTGCACTCCAAACCCGGCCTCCTTGTTTAGCTGTACGCAATACCCACCCCTAGTTCAACACTATATTATAAATGTGCCGAGCTTCCTGGGTGCTGCAGCTTCATCAGAGAGCACTGCCTACCGCGTTTCTCCGTGTATCTGTCTTGTCTTCATTCTGCTGCTGCCCTAATCACGTCCACCCCTGAAGCCATACTGGCTGTGCCCAAGGACAAGTGAGTGCCCACAGCCTTGTAAACAGCCTCTTCTCTATGCGCCCCAGGGACACTGAATAAACTCTGGTGGAACTGTGCCTCGGTTTGTCACAGGGACTCTAGGAGAAGGGGGAAGATTGTTCATGTCTTCCCCCTGGAAAAGAATTTTAGCAGTAGGTGTAAAGGACCCAGTGCAGCTTTAAAACTGACCTTGCGTGGCTTAAGCTGCTTACTTAGCAAATACCATATTTGCTGATTCTCACTATCATATCATCTTTTCAACAGGGCTCTAAGTCTGCCTTGTTTCTAAGTTTAGCCTATTCCCAGCCCCAGTGTGATTCTCCTCATCCAGACGTGAAGGCTGTTTCCACAGTGCCGTGGAGGCCAAGGTGCCTTCCTACAGGGCACGTGGTTTACAAGAAAACAAATACACAAGAGAGCTGGGAGCGAGCTTGGAGGCACACTACACTCTGAGCACAGGCAAGGGAGCGAGCTCGGAGGCACACTGTGCTCTGAGCACAGGTAAGGCTGTCCTCAACCCTCAGCATTGAGAAAGAAGAAAACGCGAACCAGGGATGGCTCAAGGGTAAGAACACTGACTGCCACCTGTAATTCCAGTTCCAGGAAATCAGATGTCCTCTACCATCTGCAGCACGCTCTTGGCTCACATGAATGCAGGCAAACATCTCTTCACTTAAATTAATGGGAACAAGACCTTTGTGAATTCAGCCTGGTTGCTCTAAGCCTGCGTTCTGTCTTCACAAGCTGCCCCTGAGCATCGGTGGCACCCATCCCTCAGACTCATGAGGCTACTAGGCTCTGTTGACTGACAGAGCCTCCACTGGTGTGGGATGCCCTTGTGTACCTGAATGGCAGTCTTAGTTGTTGTTTAATCTTCTGTGGATATGTTCTCAAAGGGGAATTTTGAAAAACCGTATTCTCCTATGTATCTAACTTTTTTGTCATAAATTTAATCATCCCAAAGAATCTAGTTTGTACTTCACTGCAGATTTAGACACTGAAATGGTAGTTTGAGTGTACTCAGTACTCTTTCCAGTGTTTTTGCCTAAGTCCAGTGGTCTTGGTGGACTTGGACATTGGCAGGATAAAGAAGTAGAACACCTGCCACAGACCCTTCCCCCATTCCCTCCCCACTTTTGTCAACTCAGTCTTCCTGAATCTCTAGGCATAGTGGTTTGAATGACAATGGCTGCCTTAGGCTCAGATGTTGAATACTTGGTCCGCATTTGTGCAGCTGTTTGGGAAGGATCAGGAGGTGTGGCCTTGTTGGAGGAGGTGTGTCACTGGGATTGAGTTTGTAATGCTTCAAAAGTCCATGTCATTCCCAGTGTTTTTGTGTCTTTTAGTTATGCCTCAAGATGTGGGATCTCAGACACTGCTCCAACAACATGCCTGCCAATTCGCCTGCTGCCACGCTACTCACCAGGTTGGCCTCGGATTCTGACCAGCTGAAACCGTGAGCTTCCACTACATTCCTCTATACATTGCCTTGGTCATGGTGTTTCATCACAGCAATAGAAAAGTAGCTAAAATACCAGGATAATGGATCCTGCTTGGGGCAGGAAGACTAAGAAAATGGGAACACAAGAATCTCAAGCGAGGTCTCTGGAGTTTGCTGTGGAGATTGTGAAGACTGCACAGATTCCACCATGAAAGCTCTCTCACGTAACCGGACAGTTCCCTCCAGAGCTCTAGACACCCACCCACACACACACACACACACATAGGTTCTCTCCTCAGACATGTTGGATGTATTTATTTCCTTGTGATATGACCAATGCATTGTCCTCCTTCTTGTGTCTGGTAAAAACCGGGAAAGGGAAGAATGCATCTTTCTCAAGGGACCCAAACAGAGTTGGGAAGGGACTCCGGGGGTACGGAATACGAAGCAGCCCCCATCTCCTCTGAAGGATGCAGTCCTGGGCTTCGTGGGCAGTACTTGTTATCTCTCGTTCATCTCCATGACCCCGGAGGTTACTGGTCTCCTCCAGGACCAGGCTGGGCTCCGTGGAGGCAGGTGGGGTTCTCCAGGACCAGGGTGGCAGTTGTGGGGGATGTAGACAGCTATGTCAGCAGCATTTCTCAGAGACAGGAGACTCCTCTGCAAAAAGAGTCCATAGTTTAAGAACCTTGTCTCCCCCTCCCAGGCACGTACCATGGATGACTCTGCAACTGTTCCCCTCTCCCCACAGCTTTCTTATGTTACAACCATCTCCTCCCCTAAAACCCCCAGCTGGCCCTCATTCCTCTTAACACCTGTAGCTCAGACTCCATGGTTTCCTTGGGATGTGAATACATCCTTCTGACTATAACTTGTTTCTACTTATAACTCCTGATCTCTACTTCTTCCCTATCTACCTCTGACTTGGGGCCTCTGTGATCCACCAACCGCTCCTTTCCCTAAGCACCTTATTACATATCAGGCACTCACCACAAAAAGGAAGACTCCAGCAAAAAGTGCTGTGGCCACAACAACAGAGGCCAGGGTGATGAGGACGGTTTCCCATGGCTCCAAGGACCCACTGGGCTTTGCCTCGTTCACTGGGGTTACAACTGTGATGGTGTGGTTGGAGGTTGAAACTGCCAGGCTAGAGCCGCTGTGGGGGGTTGTCCAGCCAGTGCTGGAGGAGGTACTGGTCTCAGCAGTGGTTGTGGTGGGTGTAGAGTTGATGGCTGTGCTGGTCTCATCTGTTTTTTGGGTTTTTGTAGAGCCAGGCTCTGTGCTGGTTCTAGCTGTCTTTGAGGTGGTTGTAGAGTTGATGGTTGTGCTGGTCCCATCTGTTGTTGTTGTGGGTGTAGAGTTGATGGTTTTTCTGGTCCCATCTTTTGTTGCTGTGGGTGTAGAGTTGATGGTTGTACTGGTCCCATCTTTGGTTGGGGTGGGTGTAGATTTGATGGTTGCACTGGTCTCATCTTTGGTTGGGGTCGTTGTAGAGCCAGGCACTGTGCTGGTTCCATCTGTGGTTCTGGTTGGTGTAGAGTTGATGGTTGTGCTGGTCCCATCTTTCGTTGAGGTGGGTGTAGAGTTGATGGTTGTGCTGGTCCCATCTTTCGTTGAGGTGGGTGTAGAGTTGATGGTTGTGCTGGTCCCAGCTGTCGTTGAGGTGGGTGTAGAGTTGATGGGTGTACTGGTCCCAGCTGTGGTTGGGCTGGGTGTAGAGTTGATGGTTGTGCTGGTCCCAGCTGTGGTTGGGGTGGGTGTAGAGTTGATGGTTGTGGTGGTCCCAGCTGTCGTTGAGGTGGGTGTAGAGTTGATGGGTGTGCTGGTCCCAGCTGTCGTTGGGCTGGGTGTAGAGTTGATGGTTGTGCTGGTCCCAGCTGTCGTTGGGCTGGGTGTAGGGTTAATGGTTGTACTGGCCTCATCTGTGTTCAGGGTCGTTGTAGAGCCAGACACTGAGCTGGTCCCAGCTGTCATTGAGGTGGGTGTAGAGTTGAAGGTTGTACTGGTCCCATCTTTGCTTGGGGTGGGTGTAGAGTTGATGGTTGTACTGGTCTCATCTGTGGTAGGGGTCATTGTAGAGCCAGGCACTGTGCTGGTCCCAGCTGTCTTTGAGGTGGGTGTAGATTTGATGGTTTTACTGGTCCCATCTGTGGTTGAGGTGGGTGTAGAGTTGATGGTTGTGCTGGTCCCAGCTGTGGTAGGAGTTGTAGTAGAGCCAGGCACTGTGCTGGTCCCAGCTGTCATTGAGGTGGGTGTAGAGTTGATGGGTGTACTGGTCCCAGCTGTCGTTGGGCTGGGTGTAGAGTTGATGGTTGTGCTGGTCCCAGCTGTCGTTGTGGTGGGTGTAGGGTCAATGGTTGTACTGGTCTCATCTGTGTTCGGGGTCGTTGTAGAGCCAGACACTGAGCTGGTCCCAGCTGTCATTGAGGTGGGTGTAGAGTTGAAGGTTGTACTGGTCCCATCTTTGCTTGGGGTGGGTGTAGAGTTGATGGTTGCACTGGTCTCATCTGTGTTCAGGGTTGTTGTAGAGCCAGGCACTGTGCTGGTCCCAGCTGTCTTTGAGGTGGGTGTAGAGTTGAAGGTTGTACTGGTCCCATCTTTGCTTGGGGTGGGTGTAGAGTTGATGGTTGCACTGGTCTCATCTGTGGTAGGGGTCATTGTAGAGCCAGGCACTGTGCTGGTACCAGCTGTCCTTGAGGTGGTTGTAGAGTAGATGGTTGTACTGGTCCAAGCTGTGGTTGGGCTGGGTGTAGAGTTGATGATTGTACTGGTCCTAGCTGTCGTTGTGGTGGGTGTAGGGTTGATGGTTGTACTGGTCTCATCTGTGTTCAGGGTTGTTGTAGAGCCAGGCACTGAGCTGGTCCGAGCTGTCATTGAGGTGGGTGTAGATTTGATGGTTTTACTGGTCCCATCTGTGGTTGTGATGGGTGTAGAGTTGATGGTTGTGCTGGTCTCATCTGTGTTCAGGGTTGTAGTAGAGCCAGGCACTGTGCTGGTCCCAGCTGTCATTGAGGTGGGTGTAGAGTAGATGGTTGTACTGGTCCTAGCTGTCGTTGAGGTGGGTGTAGAGTTGATGGTTGCACTGGTCTCATCTGTGGTTGGGGTCATTGTAGAGCCAGGCGCTGTGCTGGTCCTAGCTGTCCTTGAGGTGGTTGTAGAGTAGATGGTCGTACTGGTCCAAGCTGTGGTTAGGCTGGGTTTAGAGTTAATGGTAGTGCTGGTCCCATCTGTGGTTGGAGTTGTTGTAGAGCTAGATGCTGTGCTGGTCCCAGCTGTCATTGAGGTTCGTGTTGAGTGGATGGTTGTACTGGTCCCAGCTGTGATTGGGCTTGGTGTAGTGGTGATTTTTGTTCTCGTCCCATCTGTTGTTGGGGTGCGTGTAGAGTTGATGGTTGTGCTGGTCTCACCTGTGGTTGGGGTGTTTCTAGACTCAGTGGGGTTCCTCAGCTCTGTGATCTTTGGTGTTGATGCAGAGGTCAATGTTGTTGTGGAAGTAGTATTGGTATTTACTATGGTATAAGAGATTTTTTTTCTGAATATCACCATGAAAGATAACCGTGCATGTTGAACATATTTGCTATCTGCTTCCTGTTTTGTCAAATTCACTGCATGGGTGACTTTATTCAGTGCTCATGACCTGCTCTGTGGACACCATTATTATCAATTATCTCATGATGATATTGGAAATATTGATGTTTGCCTGCTGCCTGTAGAGGGCAGAAGATTGTGTTAGATCCCCTGAAACTGGAATTACAGAGGGTTGTTGTGCATTCTGGGAGTGGAACCTGGGTCCTGTGGGAGAGCAGTCAGTGCTCCAAACTACTGATCCATCTCTCCAGCCTCATAAAAATAGCATAAAGGAATTACAAGGGCTTCACTTTAGTGGTGTTTGCCAAGTGTGGGCAAAGCCCTGTATTTGAGCCTCAGTGTAAATATAACAGATTCTGCTGCTGTTATAAAATCTAACAAAGCAGCCTTACTGGCAGAAGGACTTAGTCACAATTTCAGACTATGGTTCCCCCATCCCTGGCAGGGAAGCCAAGGATGACCCAAGTAGACATGACATGTGAAAAGTGTGGATTTGACTGGGAATGTTTTGAATGATAAAAATAAAATAAATTGTCTACAATATGAAAAATTGATATTAAAAAACAATCAACTCAGGGCTGGGGAGATTGCTCAATGCTTAAGGTCACAGACCGCTCTTCTAGAGGATCCAGGTTCAGTTCCCGGCACCCGCATGACACAGCTCATGACTGTCTGTAACTCCAGTTCCAGGGGATCTGACACCCTCACACAGAATACATACAGGCAAAAACACCAGTGCAAATTAAATAAATAATAAATAAATCTCTCTTTAAAAAAAAACCAGCAAACTCTTCTTACTCAACACCTGACCCATACCACACAGGTGTCACCCTTTCACAGATGTGTAAACTGAGGCACAGGGAAACCAGTCCTCCACAGCGTGCTAGTGGAGCCATGACACAGGTTGTAGCAATGTGAGACCAGAGCCCATAGTGTCAGCTGCTGGCTCCTCCTGGACTCTGGGGAGACCCGGGGCTTGCCACAACCTCTCCCATCTCCTGAGCTGTTCCCAGATCATCCACGTTTAGATAAAATCACTCACCACCATCTCCCAAAAGCAGGAGCTGCGAAAGCAGCCAGCACCAGAAATGGCTCTCCCTCCGTGTTGCCATCTGCCTCCTTGTGTCTGGCCAGCGAAGATACCTGGATCCAAAATGCGGTCAAGTTCTAGAGAGTTCTTGAGAAAGAAGAGATGAAGATGAGCTCCTAGGAGTCTTGTTCCTCTAAGGGCTTCCTGGGGAGGGGGTGGCTGGATGCCTGAGCTGTTAGGCTTCCTGAGCTCCAAGCTGTCTCCTCGTTCTGATCATTGAGACCTTTATAGATTCCTGTGGGTCAGGGAGCGGTTGGGCACTTACCCTGACGGGCTGCCAATGCTGAGCACGTAAGGAAACAATCCTGAGCCTGGGAAGGCAGTTCAAGGGGATGGCATAAAAAATGACCCAGTCACACTGGGCTGGGTTGAAACAGGAAGAGAAAAAGGAAAGGAGATCAAAAATTGCCAGTGAGAAGGGACCCACCCCTGAGGCAGGTATGGGTTCAGAAACCTGTTCTAGCTCAAGATTTTGTTTCCTGGTCAAGAAATTCTGTGGTTTGACTTCAGCAGAGAAGAAGCCCCAAAGACCCAAGCAGATGAAAACGTGAGGCTCCGAAGGGAGCAGCGGTCGGTAGGCATCTGGGCTCCTGGGTTGCAGTGAGTTGCAGACACCCATCAACTTGCATTGAATCAATAGAGGAAGAGAGAGCCATCGTTAGCAAAGCCTTCTTTGGGTTCCTTGTTTATTTTCTGTTGTTATAACAAAGTGCCTGTCCTATTTGATCTCTGTTGCTGTTTCTTACACTCTTACCAAACGCAGCTTGGAGAGGAAAAGATGTATTTATTTGACTTGCACTTCCAGGTCATGGTCCACCACTGAAGAAAGTCGGAGAAGGGGCTCAAAGAGAAGCAGAGAGCTGAAACCATGGAGAAAGGCTGCTTCTCTGCCCTGCTCCCTGGCTCCCTTGCTGGTCCTATGATCAGCTAGCTATTTTACAACAGTGAAAGACACTGCCTAGGGATGGTGCTGCCCTCAGTGGGCTGAACCCTCTTCCACCTGCCTAGGGATGGTGCTACCCACAGTGGGCTGGACCCTCTTCTATCAATTAATAATCAATGGTTTCCTACAGACTTAATGTATTAGAAGAACAATTTCTCCATCCAGACAGCTCCTCTCAGATGATGCTAGGCTGTGTTAAGTTGACAATTATAGTTAATCAGGATAATGCCTGAAGTATTTTTTTAAAATACTTTATTTTTTTAAAAGTTGATTTAGCTCGTAGTTTAAGAGGCTCAAAGTTCAGGATTAGGCAGCCCCAATCTGCTTGCCTGTAGTGAAGGCTCTTCTTTCCAACATGATGGTTGATGGTGAATCAGGTCATGGCAGAACACGTGTGAGCGGAACAGATCACATGGTGAGATATGAAGAAAGGATTTTTAGGAATATCATAGGTTCTCTGATAACACCCTTCTCTCTCCAGAGCGAGAAAACCCTCCCCCTCATCATGAGACAAACATTGACCCCTCTCAAAATCCCAGTCACCTCTTGCTAGGTCCCACCGCTTGACTCTCAACCATGGCTGTGCCCCTCCTTCCAACATGCCATTTCATCTTTCCAAACAAGGCGCCTCTCAGGAGTATACACCTGGGTGAGGCGCAGGCAGGCCCTGCCTGGGACGACTGAGTCTATCTAACTAACGGAAGTGGGCTTAGACAGTCTGGGTCTTCTGGGAGTGTTGAGTTTGGTCTGGACACTTGGATGTTGCCAGCAGAGATGTTGCAGCACAGGCTCAACTAAACGACTGTGACTGCACAGATCCAAATGAGCAGAGGGTTTCCGGAAGTACGGGGGGGGGGGGCACTGGTCTGTCACTCCGTCCTGCCCCTCACCCTCCTGTGCAACAGGAGAAGCTTCACGCAGGAGGAAACGTTTCCGGTAGTCTGTGTGCGGGCGAGCAGACGTTCTTCACGAATAAGACCTGTCGTGAGAAAGCTGGCGGTTAACTGGTACACAGCTTGGAATGAAAGGGTCTGAGACAGCAAGGGATGTGGCTTTGGGAAAGGCTCAGAAGCGGGTCTCCCCTGTGGCCATGATGGGCCACTCCTGTGACTAAAGCAAGAGCCTGCAGTGACAAGTGAGGTTTTAGGTACCCAGCAATTCTACAGCTGAAAAACTGCCGGCTCTCCAAGAAAGACCTTGCCAGCCCAATCCAGACTTAGCCGGAGGGAAGGAGCTTAGCTGCAAATTCAGTCTGTGATTTAGCAGCTTTCCAAAAGTTGTGCTGGGTGTACTGATCAGAATCTAAAAGTAACTAATCTCTCCACTCAAAACAGGGAACTTGGAACACCTCAATAACTCTCATGACTCATCTCCAGGGTCACACCCGAATGCCGTGAGTGAGTCTGTTTGCTTCCTGAGACAGGGGTTTGCTATGTAGCCTAGGATGGCCTCAAACTCCAGGCCCCCCAGCCCCGCCCTGTCCTTCCTGTGTTAGGTGTGCACCACCACACCCCGCAATCTGTGTTGCCTTTTTGTGTCTGTGTGGTGCTTGGCCTGAGCCTTCTGCATGTCAGGCAGCGCTCTACACCCCCACAGAGCTGCAGCCCCCTGGCTTAAATTCTACTGTATCCTTTTTCCTTCAGGAGAGACTAACGTTACTGGTTTGTTTAAATGCCATCAGCCGAACATTGTCACACAGCTACGAGAAGGTACAAAGGACACTGAGGAACACAACTTGAGCAACCGTACTGCGTGTGATAGCACACGCCTAGGACGCCAGGACTTGGGAGACAGAGGCAGAAGAATACAGGGTTCAAAATCAGCCTCAACTACATAGAAAGTTCAAAGCCAACCTAGGGTACATGAAACTCTGTCTCAGTTCACATCTAACCCACCCCTCAAAAACAAAAAGCAAAACTAAAGATGGCCGTGGATATTTGTGGGTAGCTATGAAGCCATGACACACATTCAAACCCATTTACTTTACAGTTACAATGTTCCCAACAGCAAAAGTCTTTATAGACTTGAGGCTTCTTTATTTCATGTTTGTTTACATTTAGGATTTCTGACTCTGTGTGGATTTCTCTTAGAGTACCTGTCTGAAGGCCAGGCTGAAGGAAGGTCCTCCTAGAACCAGGCACACACAGGTGTGGCCGGTTGGAGAGTCTTTAGATTGGCTTGTGTGAAAGACTGAGAGTTTTTGTTTGTTTCTTTTGTTGTGTTTTGAGACTGATGGCCTTGAACTCACAGAGATCTCTTCCCACCCACAACTTCTGCTTCCTGAGCGCTGGGAGTAAAGGTGTACTCCCACACTAGGCCACATTTCCTCCTTAAAAATAGAATTCTAGGGCTGGCGAGATGGCTCAGCGGCTAAGAGCATTGCCTGCTCTTCCAAAGGTCCTGAGTTCAATTCCCAGCAACCACATGGTGGTTCACAACCATCTGTAATGAGGTCTGGTGGTGCCCTCTTCTGGCCTGCAAGCATACACACAGAAAGAATATTGTATACATAATAAATAATAAATAAGTATTTTAAAAAAATAAAATTTATAAAAATTTTTTTTTAAAAAAAATAGAATTCTAACTGGGCAGTAGTAGCACACGCCTTTAATTCCTGCACTTGGGAGGCAGAGGCAGGCAGATCTCTGTGAGTTCGAGGCCAGTCTGGTCTACAGAGTGAGTGCCAGGCAGAGAAACCCTGTCTCAAAAAACCAAACCAAAACAATCCTATGTCAGGCATAGTGGCTCAGGCCTTTAACACCAGTGCTCAAGAGGCAGAGGCAGGGGAATCTCTGTAAGTTCAAGGCCATTGTGATCTGTGTATCAAGTTCCCAGACAGTCAGGACTACAAAGAGAGACCCTGTCTAAAAGAACAAAATTTACTAGTATGGAGGTGGTGCAGGAGAGGGTACTGGATCCCTGCAGCTGGAAAGTCACCTTTGTGGGTACTGTGTAGTGAACCATGTCTCCAGCACAGAAAATGCTTTGAACTACATTGAATATATTGTTTAAATTGTTTGTTTATTTTGGTTTTTGGAAACAGGGTTTCTCTTGTGTAGTCCTGGCTGTCCTGGAACTTGCTTTGTAGACCAGGCTGACCTTGAATTCAGAGATCTGCCTGTCTCTGCCTCCAAGTGCTGGGATTAAAGGCCTGCACCACCTGGCTTTTAAACAGATCACTGTCTGTTCTTCCAAAGGACCCAGGTTAGGATCCTCACACCCACGTGATGGCTCACAGACAATTAAAGCTCCAGGTTCAGGGAATCCCCTGTCCTCATCTGGACCCTGTCTGACTGCATTCATGTGACACATTTACACGTATGTAGGCAAGACACACACACACACACAAAATAAAAATAAACAAATTCAAGCCAGGCATGGCTCATAACCCTTAATCCTAGTGCATGGGAGGCAGGGACAGGCAGATCTTTGTGAGTTTGAGGCCAGACTGATCTACAGAGTGTGAGTCCCTCTTTTAAATAAATAAATAACACTAAATAAATAAATTCAAATATTTTAAAAAAAGATCTCAACTCTAGCGGTTAAGCCTCAAGTATCACAGGACTGAGGTCTTTCATCTAGCTGGGAGTTACATTAGATACTGCTGAGTTTGTTCTCGAGGCTCCTTACCCTCCTCTGTGCCATGCCTAGAGAGGCAGGTGATTTTACTTGTATTTCCTTGTATGAAGGATGATTTTAATTTTAGCTTATATTCTCGGGGAGGGTTCGTGATTTAAATGAGGACTACTGGACAGGCCACCTGGACTGGTCCCACCAAGGCTGAAATACCTTGAGCTCAAATTCCATGGCTGCTTCTTGCTTCCTGGTTCTTCAGCGTCCTGTGTCGACGCAGGTGTCCTTTGTATATCTAGGGTCATGCCACACAGCCCAGGCTGCCTGCAACAGTCCCGAGTGCTGGCTTCATAGGCTGGCAACCCCGGGGTTGGCTCATGGGTTTTACTTTAGCACTGCTTCCTCTCCTGTCAGCTCAACGGCTTCCTGAAGAAGACCCGCCAGCCCCTCTCTTTTCCTCAGCATATTTTCAGCCGGGACCCTGGTCCATTACATCCTCTTGTTACAATAAAACCCCCCACCACCAAAAGCAAATTAGAGGAGAAAGGGGTTTACGGGTTCAGGCCCATCTGAGGGAAGTCGAGGCAGGAGTGGGAGGTAGGTCTACCCTATACTGAGTAATTCTGAAGAAAACGGAGTCTCACAGTCTAGAGCCTCCACTGACCTCTAAAGCCCTGCCCTGTTCCATTTATTTAAATTCCATTCTAGAGCCTGCAAGATGACTCAGTGGGTAAAGGTGCTTGCTGTCACGCCTGAGGCCCTGAGCTCCATCCCCAGGACTCAGATGGTAGGAGGAGAATTTACTTCTCCAAGTTTTCCTCTGACCTCCATGTGTGAGGTGGGATGCCTCCTGCAACCAACTGATAAATGTAATAGAAGTTTTTTTTAAATGAATTCTATTTAAATGTCACCAAAACCCACAGCTTGGATACTTGAACAGGACTTTCTTTTTTCCAGTAAGAAGCCCCTTAGACCTTATGGTATTGATGCAGGACCTGACCTAGGGAGGCCACAGGTTTGTTCCTGAGGTCACGGTGACTTGGGCTAGGACCAAAGCCATTCTGCCTTGGCTCCACGCTCTCAATATCCCTCTTTCCAAACAAGCTCACTTGCCACGCAGACACTCAGTCCCACAACACCCACAGCAGCTAAAACTAGAGAAATGAGGGAGCGAATGAAAATATCCAGCTGGTTTGACCCTGCTTGTTTGGGAGGGGGGTGCTTGTTGATACAGACCCTGTTTATTTTGGGGGGTGGGGTTCGAGACAGGGTTTCTCTGTGTAACAGTCCTAGCTGTCCTGGAACTAGCTCTTGTAGACCAGGCTGGCCTCAAACTCACAGAGATCCGCCTGCCTCGGCCTCCTGAGTGCTGGGATTAAAGGCGTGCTCCACTATCACCTAGCTGATATGAATCCTATTATATGGCCCTGTCTTTGGGTCAGTTAATGGATGAACTGTCTGGTTGTCGTAGTTTGAATGTAATTGGCCCCCAAAAGCTCGTAGGGAATGGCACTATTAGGGTGTGTGGCTTTGTTGGAGTGGGTGTGACCTTGTTGAAGGAAGGTGTCACTGTGGGGGTGGGCTTTGAGGTCTCCTACACTTGAACTATGCCTAGTGACATAGTTCACGTCTTGTTGCCTGGGGATCAAGATGTAGAACCCGCAGCTCCTTCTCCAGCACCATGTCTGCCTGCAAGCCCCCATGTCCCACCATGATGATAATGGACTAAGCCTTTGAAACTCTAAGCCACCCCAATGAAGTGTTTTCCTTTGTAAGAGTTGCCGTGGTCACGATGTCGCTTCACAGCAACAGGAACCCTGCCTAAGACACTGGTCCTTCTGGTCTAAGGATGGAGGTCCATGATGCTGCCACAGGGATGTATGCCCAGGTGAGACGCATTGGAGCTGTTGATAGTGTGCATGGGGTCCCTTCCAGGGTCACGGAAACAGAAGCAGAGGTGGGCGTATCAGGTGCTCTGGTTTCTGTGGAAGACACTGCCATTGTCCAGGGTCTCCAGTGGAAGTGGCCTCGGAGCCTGGGCTGGAGAGATGGCTCCACAGTGGAGAGGAAGCACCGCTCTCGCAGAGGCCTGAGTTTGGTTCCCGACACCCATTCTGGGTGGTTCACAACCACCTGTAACCAGGAGGATCTGGTGCCCCCTTCTGGCCTCTGTGGGCAACTGCATATGTGCGTGTGTGTGTCTAAAAATAATAATAATAAAACCTTTCTTATCAATAGTAAATTTCCCACCCCCTCACTTGAAAATTGAACTGAGCTTTTGCCTAAACCCAGACATAGCCATTTTAGAACCAACAGAAATCCTATCTCCTCTCTCTGGTTCTTCAAAGAACTCCGGTCCGGTCCTGCCCTCCAGCCTCCTGTCCAGGGTTACCCATAAGGCCAAGGACACCTGAGAGTCGGCAGAGTCTAGAGTCCCTACTGCTTTATTGCAGAAATCCAGCAGAGGGCACCTGTCCTCTGTCTACTAACCCCCTCCCACCCCATCAGTACTAGATAGAAAGATGGGATAAATTGGAGAGAAAATCCCCAAAGCACGCCGAGATGAACTGCCTATAAGATGGAAACGTCAGAGCGTGGTGGGAGAGTGTGGAGAGGGGACACGCCGGGGAGTAGCTGGTGACGCTGCAAGATGAAGCCAGCACCACTTTTGGGGAAAGATGCCAGAGGACATGCTGGATGGGTACACCACCAGGGAAGGTTGGGCGTGAGGTGGGTGGGTAAGACCACAGGCAAACATGAGCCCCTCTGTGCATACCCACCCACAAACAGAAAACCCGCCAAAGACACCCAGAACAACCAAGGGACTCACACGGAGGCGGGAAGAGTCACGGAGAGGAGGAGTTTTGGGATCTTCGCAAGATTGGTTGGGGGGTCTCTCTCTCCAAGCAATGGAGAGGATAGGAAAGAAAACACTCCAATCTTCCTTTATTCTTAGGTCCTTTTTTAATTAAAAAAAAATAAGATCTAGTACTCGGGGAGCTCAGAATTGTGTGCACCTTTAAGTGGGGGTGGACAGAATTGCTATACATCCGTTTGTAAACCTGGGCACTGCCTCCACTCCTCCTGCCTCCCAGGGTCCTACTTCACTCTTGGGTTGTTCTCTTCTGAGGTGCCAAAGCTTCATATAGCCACGCCTCTCTCAGAGCTGGTCCTGCCCTGGCCCCGCCCCTGCTGTCCGTGAACCGCCTTATTCCCACACCACCACTTTCCACGGAGAGCGCCTGCGTTATTCATTCTTTCTTTTTCCCCCACAGGTACGTGTCACCCTTACCACGTGACTCCTCAACTACTCAGTTAAGAATATGGCCCATAGGGGTTACAGCTGTTATCTGTCAGTTTTTGCTGCCCTTTCTACGCCCAGGAAGCTGGCGTCGTGAGTCTAATTATCTTCCAGAAAAGGGGAGAAGCCTGGAAGAGCTGGGGGTGCAGTTCTCAAGATCATGGAGGGGACGGGATCTGGCTTGGTTTCAAATTCTGCTGCTCCATCTGGTAGACGGGGTAGGAATTGCGGCCCCCTCTGTCCTCAGGGTCGAAATCCTCTGAGTTCTGGGTCGTCAGTACACGGCGTGTTCGCGATGCGCAGGCAACCTGAGATGGCAGGAAGGAGTAAGTTCACCGCCAGCTGTTCCACACTGTCAACCACCCCTGGGCCTTTTCTCTCGGGTCCTGCACCTTTTGCTTGTCCAAGATTCTATCCAAGCCCTGGTCCGTATTCCAGACCTAGCTCCAATACAGAGTCCCAGATTCCACACACAACCCCCTCTGCCCTGGTCACCTTATCCTTAAATCTCTACCCTCACACCCAAGACTACAACCAACTCCCAGATTTTCTTTCTCACACCCCTTCCATCTCAGCCATGGCCTTCTCTTCCAACTCTTCCCATCTTACAGATTTGCTGGGTTTCTCCTCTTTACACCCCAGCTCACTATTCTCTCTAACTCCGAACCCTAATCTCTCCTCAGTCTGTCTCCCCTACTCCTGCCCCATTGCCCTTACCAAAAAGATCAGGCCAATGGAGATGAGCAGGACGATCACGGCCAGGAGGATCACAACAACTATGGCCCACGCAGGGAACGAGTTGTTCTCTCCCTTTGCCCCCTCAGCGTGGAGGCCTCCAGGTGAGCTGTGGCTGCTCTGCTGCTGGTGAGCCCCTGACGTGCTGGATCCCAGGTCTGTTCTAGTTGTCACAGAGCAGAGGTGTCCCCGCCGTGTGGTCTCAGATTTATGGAGAGGAGGAGAGAGAGCAGTAGACTTGTCCTCTGTGACCTTGACTGGAGGCCCCGTGCTCACGAGGACTGCTTCTGTTTTCTCTGGGTTTACTGGAGCTTTTGTGGGCTTAGTGGTCAGTGTGGTTTTCCTCTGGAATACCGTGGGACTTTGTGACACGCGTGTGGCTTCCTGGGTGGTTGACGTGGCTTCTTCTGGGTGTTCTGTAGACTTTGCTGAGACTTGTGTTGTCTTTTGATTGGCCAGTGTGGTATCATGTTCTACAGGCATCACTTGGGCTCTTGTGGTCCTCTCATTGGCTGAGACGGTCTCACTTTTATACTGAGTGGGTGTTGCTTGGGCTCTTGTGGTCCTCTCACTGGCTGATATATCCTCTCCCTCATGCTCTGCCGGAGTCACTTGAACTCTTGTGGTCTCCTTGCTGGCTGATGTGGTCTCTTTGATGTGTTCTGTAGTCGTTTTCTCAGGCTTGTCTGAGGCAAATGGAGTCCTGTGAGCTTCAGCTCCTGGTGTTGCTGGGGTCCTTGGAGTCCTGTATGAGGTCTTTGGGGCTTCTGGGGATTTTACTGAGGAAGATGTGGTTTTTCTACTGAGCTCTGAGTCATGGGAAGGAGTTGTGGGTTTATGTGAGGTGGTCCTTAGCCCAGTGCTGGTATCCACAGGTCTCGTTGGTGTACCTGAGTTCCGCGTTACTCTGGTTTTGCTTGTTGTAGACTTACAGGTTGTTCTTCTCCTGGGTGCTGAGGTTGGATGACTTCCCTCTGATCCTTTCTCTGTGTTAGTGGATTTGGGGTCATCAGCTAAGTGTCCATTCCGGATCATTGGGTCTTTTCCTGGGCTGGTGGCATTCTTTTCCAAAGCAGGGGTCATTTCATGGCGAACAGTGGTGTTTTGGTTATCTGTGGCTTTGGAGTTGTCTACAGATTTGTGAACTGGTTTGTCAAGGCGTACGGTGGTGCACCGCCTTTTGGGCTTCTGGGTTGCTGTAGACTTAGGGAGATCCGGAGCTCGTTGGGGGTTCAGATCAGTGTGGACAGAAAGAGCCTTGTGAGTAAGGCCTGGAGTAAGGGTGAGCAGATGATCAGATGTTGAAGGTTCACCGGTCTTCTGAAGTTCCTGAACTGTGTTAGCACCTGTGGAGAGAGAGACAGATGAGGGGCTTCCCTACGATCTTGCCTGCCTTGTACTAGGCATCCTCGGGATGCACAGCTGTCTTCTCTGGAAGGCTCATTAGAATACCGCACTGTTTAACCCCATTCTCACCTCTAGCCGCGGAACTTTTGCCCAAACTGCACCTTCAGCAAAAATGTAGTCTCTCTCCTTCCCCACACCCATACCTCAACTTTCATCTCAGCCTTCTGGCATCTCTCCTGGGTCCTCTTTAGATCTAGTGTCTCTTGTTGGTTAATATGGTCTCTCCCTCATACCCTGTGCGACACGTTTGGACTCTTGTGGTCCTCCCATTGGCTGACACATTCTCTGTCAAAAGCATCGTCATTGACTCCTCCAAAAACCTTTCGCTTGCTTGTGTGCCGGTCAACATCTACTTCCTACCACACCTGCCTCGGTCTCCCTTCCCATGGAATTGCTGAGAGGAAAGGGAATTCATGTCAGAATCTCGGTCTTTCCGTGGCATCCCAGTTCCATTCCAGAGGTGACAATGTGAGAAACTGAGGCACACTTCAGGCAGAACTTTCCAGGTTAGAGGTTGAGAGAGAAGGATGAGGTAGAAGAGGATGGGAGAGGAAAATGGAGACTTCCATTCGGGTGCTGAAGTTTGGTCTGAGCGAAGGGAGGTAGTTCAGCCCTTGTTTCTACCCTCATTGGGTCCCCTCTTTGTACCATGTCTGAGAATAGATGAGGGAGACTCGACAGAAAATGGTTTCTCCTGGCAGGTCCTGGCAGCGGTGAGCAATCAGCTGGATTCTGGGAGGGGTTCTGTTTAGGGACAGGGTGTGCAGGAGAACACCCTTATCAGCAGGCAGATATGGGCCTTAGTGAAAACACAACTGGATAGGGACAGATGTGTCTCTGACGCTGACCAGAAGAACGAGAGCCCGGAGATTACCAGGGAATAGAGAGACATAGCTGAGATTGTGGGCACTGTTAGCTCAGGGTGGCACCCAGGCTCAGGGCTGATTCCCAGTAGTGGGAGACAGATCCACCTGCCTTCCCGCTGGTGAGAATGGGGGCTGGGAACTCAGTCCTAGGAAGTGTGGGAAGAGCGGACCAGGAGGTGAGAATAGAGAAGCCCAAGTCCCATGAGCTGCAAGGAAGAGGCCTCACTGTCCCTCTGATCTCCCTTCCTTCGAAAGCATTCTCCTCTCAGTGGATTGGGAGCATCATTTTCCAGATGCCACGGTGTAGATCCAGACTGCCCCTAAAGGAGTTAAATACCTAGTCCCGAGATGGGCACTGCTGGGAGGTGATGGGACCGTTGGGAGGCGGGGTCTTATAGCACATTCCCTGGGAGAGACTGCTAGGCTACCGGCTCCTTTCTCTTTCCTGTTCCTGACCAATCAGGGAATGGCGTCACTCTGTCCCATGAGAACGGGTTGCAATGGGCTCAGAGCACCAGGGCAATCATCAAAAACTATGGCCCCAGACAAAACCTTTGCCTTCATAAGTCCATAACCTCTGGCATTTTGCTACAACTAGGGAGAGCTAACACAGCAAGCCAGGCACCTGATACCTTCACAGGTATTCACTCACCACAGCTGAGCTTCCAGCCCTCACCAGGCTCTTAGAAGCTGCCAGTCTCCCCGTTTTTCCATCTGTGGAACTGGAATCTCATGGAGGAAGTGCCCCCCCCCCCCCCCGCTTAGCAACAACAACTTTTGTTCAGTATTTCCTATAATCCTCATTTATTTGCCCCAAGGACCTTTTGCAGGTGAGAACTATCTTCTGTTCTCCGAGGGAACGGGGTTCAGAGTGGTTAGGTAATCCCTGGGATACCCAGCCAGTAAGAGGTGGAGTCAGGATTTGAACACACATCCTGGGATGCCAGCCCCAGACTAGGACTGGTTAAGACCTCAGCACCGACCCTGTGAACCCGGTCAGGCTCTCTGGGGAGGGGAGGGCCCTGCTGCAGCTTACATGTTTGTTTATTTAATCTTTTTCACAAACCCACGTTTTTACAGGTGGGGAGGAAGCTGAGATCTAACTACCCAGGCATCCACTACCCAGGCGTCTACCACCCAGATGTCCACTACCTTCCATGCTTCAAACACGCCAAGGGCTCGATAGAGACCCACAGAATGAACCAGTGAGCCACTCATGGCGGAGAGTGCTGAATCCCACTGCCCTTCAGAACTGAGGGACAAGCTTGAAGTACAGGCTTTGTCCCCATCAACTTTGTCCTCACTCAGGTAACCTCAATACTTGGAACTCAGAATAGCAGCTTCCAATAACAGGCAACATTTTAAAAACTTACTGAATTGTCAGAGGAAACTGCTGAAAAGACTTTAGAATGCCCACTGCCTTCCACTAAGCACATTAAGAAACACACACACAAACACACACACCACAATTTGTGGCTTCCACGGGCTAGAAGACTGAGGAGTGACATCTGCTCTTTTTAGTGACTTCCCGAGGTGAACAAGCAGGAGGAAGATGGCTATCCATCAAGTCTGGGGTGGGTGTCAGCTTTTTTATTTATTTTGAGGCAAGTTCTCACATAGCCTAGGCTATGAAGTTTTTTGATCCTCCTGCACCTACCTCCCCAGTGTTAGGTTTACAGCTGTGCACCACCACAGTGTGGGGAACCTTACTCAGGGCTTCAAGCATGCTTGCCTAGAACTGCACCATTGTAACGACAGCCCCAGCCCCTCTTCCCACATCCCCTGTCTGAACTTCCCTGGGCAGGCTCTGGAGTTCTGTGCCCTACCTGAGTCTGGGGACCAACAGGTCCTGTGGACAGATGCTGGACCACATCGGAACAGTCCAGGGGAATTTGCCCACCTTCTTTTTCTGCCATACACAGTCATGTGCCCCAACCCTGGTCCAGACACACACACACACACACACACACACACACACACACACACACACACACACACTTGTGTGCACATGCCTGTGTACCCTCCAGTCTCTCCCCGCATCCTGCCCCACCAATATCCAAGGGCACTCCCCGACCTCACCCATCATCACTGCTCCACCCAGCCTTCTGTCCTGATGCAAATCTCCAGGTGACTAGGGTGAACTTGCTCCCCTGCGCCCCCTACTGGTTTGTTGCACTCGTGCAGCAGCTTGACACCCAGGTGGGCATCCATTGGCACGGGCTCTCTAGGGCTGTGCCGCAGGGCTGTCTGGGTAGGAGCACGGGCATCAGCCAGGACCCTCTGGGTAGGAGCAGGGACGTCAGCTCAGGATGCCGACAGAGCACGCTGTAGAGGTCTGTCAGAGGCGCTGAAAGAGTCTCAGCTTCCAACCCTGCCATCCCACGGGAACCCCAGCAAGACCCCGAGCTCAGGGCAGGAGCCCCAGCTCAGTTTCGCCAGGTGAGCCTATTGGAAGAAGGTGCTGCCCGCCATGCCCCAGAAGTACCCACCCCCAGAACTCTGGTTTGAGGATCTCGCATCTGTTAGGGAGGTAGGAGTTCTGCACTTTTGTCTACATGATAAAGACGCCCCTGTAGACGTCCAGGCCCCATCAAAGTGTCCCCTGCATTTGGCATCTCTACTCCCTGTCCCAGCACTGTTTGTTAACTAAGTGAACTGACCTAACGATGCTACCTCCTTCCCTAGCGTCTCTTGTGTGCGGCAAACTTTTCTTATCCAAGTCTTGGGATATTTTTCACCTATCAGATGGGGACAGAACCTCGTTGAGCTGCTGTGAATTATTTATTAAATGAATAAATATGGGTGAAATGCCAGAACCATGCCTGTGCAGAGTAGGCTGTACCCCCATCACGAGCACAGGCTGTCAGCATCCTTCCTGCTGTATCATTGACAGGTGAGCTAAATGGCTGAGTCAAGTGGGTAAGCTGGGTCTCTCTTGAACCTTCCGGAACCCATCCTGCGCTCTTGCCCCGCAAAGACCCCCAGCTGTGTGACTCCTCCGCTAGAAGATGGAGATCATTGACCCTCTGGGGGATTAAGGAGACACCGGCAGAAGCACCACAAGTGTCAGTGGGTTCCTTACCTGTGGTAAGTGCCCAGGATGTGCGAGCTCCCTCCCCTGTCCCCCTAGAACTAAAGTCCACACAGCATCTTTATGTAAGCTTGAACCTCTAGGCAGGTGTAGCCCCCCAGACCATCTCAAAAGAAACGGAGCGGAATTGAGATTCCTCTCCTGCGTGTCGTGAACACACTAGGCAAAACCCTTCACAGCCATTTGTGCCGCTCGCCATGGTTCATTGCTGTGGCCGACCATCCAGCCCCATCCACACCAAGAAATAAGACCTTCGTGATTTCTATCCCCTATAGAATGGCGACCCCTTTACCTCTCTGAGCATCTTACCTGCCTCCCAAGAAGCTGGAAGGAAGAAGAGGCAGCAGAGGAAGCCAAACGTGGAACAGAGACCGCTGGTCAGTTGAGCCATGTCAGAGCTAGGAGGCCACTGAGGGACCACGGACCAGGGACCCTTCATCTTATAAGGGGTCAGGTTTGACGTCACGGGGGCTGGGGCTACTCTGAGCTAAGCCTTAAGCAAATGGAGCTGCCCCACCCATAGGGGTGCCCTGATAATGGGAGACCGCAGCTGTGTCATGAGCTAGGAACCTGGGTTCCACCAAAGGCGTGGGATCTGGAGACTCAGAAGGGATCTGGGTGGGGTAGCCAGGCTGCCTCCTTATCCAGCCCCTGCGGAAGGAATGGCTTGTATGGGGTGGCCTGCAGGCTCTGAGCCAATTCTTGTGTTCTAGAGGGATTGGACAGGGCACTGGACAGGTCCAGGCTCTGGGAGGAGGCTCATACTCACCCTCCTGTGTCTCTAGCGTCATCCAGCCCCACGCCCCTAACTCACACATAGCCAGCCACACTTTCTGCCCTGGGTGGAGTGTCCCCAAGTCTAGGTGAAAGAGCAGGGAAGGGGGCAGCCCTCACGTGGTCCATGACACACAGAAGCTTCCATTGCGTAAGGACAGGCTGTGGGGACAGCTGAGGCAGGGAACCCCAGGGCTGACATCACTTGTCCCCTCTGGGGACATCTGTCCTTCCTATGCCTCTCCTGCCATCCCAGGAAGCAGCTGCCTTGACCTCAAAGCTGCATCTGCCCCTGCTCAGAAAACTGCACCTCCTATTTCTAGACTTTCTGCCCCCCTTTCTCCTCATTGAAAAGTCTCAGTTGTGGGGCTCAAGGGGGAATCACCTTATATCCCCTATGAACCCCGTACCTGAGACTTCACTCTTTCCCTACCTAGAGCAAGTGTTAGCTTAGAGACCAGCTCCACCAAGGTTCTAGGAGAGAGGAGCCCCTACCCCTCCCTACAGCTGATCTACTCGAAGGCCTCCTACACTGTGAGCACCCTGGGGCAATGCCTTTGTCGTCACCCCCCCCCCCCACATCCACATCCCCAGTCTCTGGGGCAGTGCAGCAGACAGCCAGTCAGCGATTCGTTGCCAGTGTGGGGATGTGGCTCAATGGGGAGTGATTGTGTAACTCCAGCACCCTAAAAGATGTGAGTCCCCTGGCGGGATGGAAGCAGAGCCGTTGCTCCCTAAGGGAAGTGGGCAGCAGAGGGGATAGCGGGACCTGAGATCCTCAGGGAGGGAGCTGGGGCTGGGGCAGCTGAGGCTCCTGACGACCAGTGGTCCAGCATGAGTAGTGCCTACGCCCTTAGGGCTGGATCAGGAAAGGAGAGAGGTCAACTGCCATTAACTCAATTAACGGGAGATTAATGAGCCTCTGCGGTTGTGCCTAAGACTGCCGGCTCAGAGCTGGGCAGCCTGTGAAATCACAGCGAAGCCTGCAGGACGAGGACCCTCTCCCTGCGGCTCCATCCGGACCCTAGAGCCCCTGACAGCCTCCTTTTCCACTTTTCTTCTACGCCACGCTTCCTCTAGGGTCCCTAGCTCCAAGACACTGGCTCCCTGTGGAAAAGGCCAGTTTTGCCTCCCCAGGGGAGACTCGGCAATCCCAGGAGCATCCATGTCACAGAGATGCGTGCTGTGGGTATCTAGCGGGAAGAGACTAGAGATACTGCTGGCCACAAGAGTTTCTATTTGGGAGTAAACTCCAACCGGTGCCTGTGAACAAACACCCTCCTCCCACTGTGGTCACAGCTCACAGAAGACCCAGCTGTCTAGAGAGGAGGAGCCCGGCATGGGTAGAGGCCAACAGACTCTGTTTCTAGAATAACTCACTAACCGCTGTTCTTTTAAGTATGTTTTTTCATGTGCATGCGTGTTTTGCCTGCATGTGTGTCTGCAAAACAGTTGCGCAACTGGGGGCTGGAGAGATGGCTCGGTGGTTGGGAGCATTGCCTGCTCCTCCAAAGGTCCTGAGTTCAGTTCCCAGCAACCACATGGTGGCTCACAACCATCTATAATGAGATCTGGTGCCCTCTTCTGGCATACAAACATACATGGAAGGAATGTTGTATACATAATAAATAAATAATAAATCTTTAAAAAAATAAAAAAAAAACAGTTGCGCAGCACCCATGGGGGCCAGAATAGAGAGTTGGAGCCCCTGGGATCGGAGTTAGGAGTTACAGACAGTTGTGAGCCATCATGTGGGTACCTGGAATCAAACCCTGGTTCTTTGGGAGATCAGTCAGTATTCTCAGCCTCCCCAGCCCTAGGCACTCAATTTATCTTTTTAAATTTTTTTGTTGTTTTACTTGGCTTAATTCTCTCTCTCTCTCTCTCTCTCTCTCTCTCTCTCTCTCTCTCTCTCTCTTTCTCTCTCTCTCTTTGTGTGTGTGTGTGTGTGTGTGTGTGTGTGTGTGTGTGTGTTTTGCTTTACTCCAAACTGGTCTTGATTTTGCTATGTAGCTGAGGATAGCCTTGACCTCATGATCTTTCCCCTCCCACCTCCCATGTGCTGGGCTTACAGGCATGTACCACCATACCTAACTACTAAATTGTTTTGTTTTTAAAGATTTATTTATTATGTATACAACATTCCTTCCATGTATGCTTACATGCCAGAAGAGGGCACCAGATCTCATTACAGATGGTTGTGAGCTACCATGTGGTTGCTGGGAATTGAACTCAGGACCTCTGGAACAACAGTCAGTGCTCTTAACCTCTGAGCCATCTCTCCAGCCCTTGTTTTGTTTTTTGAGACAGGATCTTGGTATCTTAAGTTGGTTGTCCTGGAACTCATTATGAAGACCAGGCTGGCCCCAATTGGTGACTCTCTTTCTGCCCCTGCCACTTGGGTGCTGAGATTACAGGAAGACACTACCATGCCTGGCCCAAGATGGCATCTTAAGATCAGTCACAAGAGGTGTTGACTCTGTCTGAGTCGAAGGCAGGGGAGTCAGTCATGGGAGCCTCTTGTGAGAACTGACGAGGTCAGCGAAGCCATCTTGTTTTTCAGATGAGGGCAAACGGCGCGTAGCCATTTCAGCCTTACCTGTCATGAGCATTGCTGGCAGTCAGATGGTAGCAATGTAAGGGGTCACGGCTGCACCCCTAACTCATCTCCCCCAGAACTGGCATGTCTGTGAGATGAAAAATGAATAGGATGTCCTGATATGGAGGTCCGGGGGCCAACTGCCCGGATCTGGGCTCTTGCATGGAGTACTGCTTCCTGTGACCACCCAGTCGTCAGGGTTCTTTGCTGAGCAGGAGTAGCGGTGATTAAGATGCACTCATGTGATGCTCCCAGGGTCTCTTTGAGGTAGAGGCTGCTCCACCCACGGCTCAGTTCCCGCTCTGAAGAGTGTGCCCTCAGCACACAGCACCAGCTTGCAGCAGTGGTTCACACCTGCCACACGTTGTTACCGTTTAGGAATTATCATTGGTTCATTGGTAAAGTGTTTGCTGTACAAGCACGAGGGCCTGAGTTCTATCTCCAGCACCCACATAAAAAGCCCGGCATGGGGGCTGGAGAGACGGCTCAGGGGTTAAGAGCTCTTGTTGCTCTTCTTCCAAAGGACCTGATTCCTGTATGGTAGCTCACAACTGTCTGTAACTCTGGTTACAGAGGGATCCGATGCCTTCTTCTGGTCTCTGTGAGCACTGCACACACATGGTGCTCATACACACATGCAGACAAAACATTCACTCACAGAAAACAAAATAGAAATAAAATCTCAAAGATGGAAGCTCTCCGCTGCCCAGGTTTCCCACCTGGCAAGCCACAGGAGACTGGGCTGTCAAGACACCAACCCGGTGGCGCACGCCTTTAATCCCAGCACTTGGGAGGCAGAGGCAGGCGGATCTCTGTGAGTTCGAGACCAGCCTGGTCTACAAGAGCTAGTTCCAGGACAGGCTCCAAAACCACAGAGAAACCCTGTCTCGAAAAACCAAAAAAAAAAAAAAAAAAGACACCAAGAGGGACCCCGTGAGGCCCCACCCACCCCTCCCTTTGGGGTGCGCATTCCAGAGCCCTTCTCTGGCAGGAATGATGACCTCTAAGGACGGTTAATCATTAATCCCTCAAGAACCTCTGAGGGACCCAGGCTTGGGTGGGGCGTGGCACTTGCAGGAGGGCCCCCACTTGTCCCTACCTCTCTCCTCTGAGGTCTGAAGCAAACAATGGGGGGGGCACTCCTTCACATTACCCAGGAGCCAGTGAGTGGCCCTCTCCAGGGTCATGGGAACCACTCTGGGAGAACTGGAAAATCCAGTTGCCGGGTCTCTTGGTGCCCCCCACACCAGTGCTGAGGGCCCAGGTAGAGTGGCTGTTTCCCTTTCCCTTCTGCCGTGGGAGAAGTGAGGTAGCCACAATGGGGTCTTCGATGCCCGTCTTCCTCCTCCTGGCGCTCCTCAACACCTCACATGCAGCAGGTGAGGGCTGGAGGGTGGACATGGAGGTGTGTGTGGGGGGATTCCTTGGTACTGAGTCCCTGATCTGATGGGGCAGCACTGGAGGAAAGGGAGTCTGGGGCGGAGGCAGGGGAATGCCCCCCCACACACACCAGGAGGTATCATGACCCTGACTGCTGGGCCCTGAATCACATTTTTGGTTTCCCAGGGCCAAAGGTTATTCTGAAAGTAAAGCTGGCGGAGGTTTTCCAGGCCAAGGCCTCCCAGGACTCCAGCTTCCTGGGCATGCTCCAAAAGGTAGTTCTTAGAAAGGGGATGGGGTGCTGGGTGCTTCTCTGAGCTCCTGCGGGTCTCTGCTCGAGCTGCCTGAGTCACGGGGGGGGGGAGTGGGGTACCATCTGCAGCTCATCCTCTACTCACTTTTGTTCCCCAGATCTGCCTCCTCCTTCACCTCCCATCGGGGACCAACATGACCCTCCATCACAAGGGGCCACTACACCATCTCACCTGCAGAACCTGAGGGCAGCTGAATTCAGCTTTCAGCTTTGGGGAGTGGGTAACGGAAGTGAGCCGGCCTTGACCTAGCAGGCCCTCACCGTACCACATGCTAATAAACAGGTGGGATCTAATGACTGGCCTGGTGTGTGCAGTGGGTCTGTGAGCACAGGACATGCCAGCGTCTGGGTCTGTGAGCACAGGGCACGCCAGCGTCTGGGTCTGTGAGCACAGGACATGCCAGTGTCGCTGACTGATTCTCTGGTTCGCTGAGCAGAGGTGCTAACTCTCTCTGTATACCATGGAAGCCTAGAATATTAGGAGTGAGGTAACTTAGACAACAGACAGAGTAGACTCCAGAGGATGGATCGCAGAGCCTGCCATGCTGTAGGTGGTCACATTTGGGACAGACTGATGTCAAGAGTTCAAATCCTGCCAGGTACCCAGAGGTGTCTTCCTATTTTTACCCGACTGCCTCCCTCAAGATTATCTTGAGCTGGGTCTAGAGGTGATCCCAGCACATGGGAGGCAGAGGCAGGCAGATCTCTGAGCTTGAGTCCAGCCTGGTCTACAGAGCGAGTTCCAGGACAGGCAGGTGTGGGACCCAAGCAGCAGTGAGACCCCCCCCCCCCCGAAAGTAGGCCTGAGTTTCTGTTTACCCTAAGCAACACCTGACTCCAGGAAAGACCACAAACTGAGACCACCCATGTACCACCCAGGAATGGACCAATCAGCATCCAAGGGGACAGTACCTGCCTTTCCAACCACTGTAGATAGGATTGCCAGGTTCCTTAGCCCAGCACACATCCATCCCTTTCACCCAGACACCCCTAGACAAATGTCACCCAACCAGGGGTCCTGAACCTTAGGAATCTCCTCACTCCAACTTCTACTATGATGAAAACCCCACCCCAACTGGGCTCGGAGCGCTCGGCTCTCTTCGCTGCCTCAGACAGACTAAGCTCAAGCTTGAAATAAAGGCTCTTTGCCTTTACATACGGGGTTCAGTCTCCCTGGTGGTCTTTTGGGGGCCCCCATGATCCGGGCATAACGCCAAGGCTACATAGTGGAACCCTGTCTCAAAAACGGACTAAATCCTGTAACCTTAGACCTGACTGACCCCTTGGGAGGGTTGGGATGACTGCTACTGTCCTTCCCGGTCTCCACCCATGCCACGGTCACCCCACATAAGAGCACGATACTCCAGGAAGCCGAGGACGCACAGACGGGAAGGAAGCAGAAGCAGACATTGTGCTTTGCCTCTTTTCTCCTCTCTGGCTGTCTTGGAACATGTAGCATCAAGGAGAGGTAACCCATAGGTCCCCGGGGGACCCCGGTGTTCTGTGACTTGCGCTTGGACTGCCCCAGGAGGGAAGCGGCCCCCACGGGTCAGGCGTGCAGACTCCAGGTGAGCTAGGGGCTTGAGGAGCAGACAGACGTCTGTTCTGTCCAGCTCCTAGTGCTCAAGGCCTGGGATCATCAGCGCGTAGCTTCTGGATTCTTTCCCTAGAGCAGTGGAGATAACGCCTTGGGGTTCACCTTAGCTGTGAGGGGGACAAGGGAAATGAAAATCTCCCTGGGGTGGGGGTTTCTTGTTCCCAGAAGACATTGCAAGAAGAAATGGCAGGATGGCATGGGGGCGGGGCTTCTAAAAAGGGCCAATAGGTGAAAGGGGGCGGACCCAGAGACCTTATATAATACCCAAGCCAGCTCCCGTTAGCGATGATCAACTTTGGGGCTGTTATTTTTCTGATTCTGCAGCTTCGTGTTTTATCTTTCCCCGGTGTTCAGTTCTCCAGGGGACACACTCAGCAGCTCCTACATGACCAGCTAGAGATTTCTCTCTTGAGAACCACGGTGGCGGGTTAAGTCACCACTCCTAAGCAGAGACAAGACAAACCAGGCCCCAAGGTACTGGGGAGGAAGGGTTGCAGAGGGCAGGTTCCTCACTCAGCACACCTGAGAAAGGACCATGGGGTAGGGCCTTAGCTTTCTCATCTGCCTGGCTCTCGGGCCCTCGACCTAAGTGCGGGCACCTGGAGGTGGGCTGTATGGGGGTAGGGAAGACTCAGCTTTACCCGAGCGTTAGCGCCTGCGTTTGTGTGCCTGCGCCCCGCAGAAGCCAGAGCCATCCGCTGGAGTCACAGGCAGTTGTGTGCCCCTGACTTGGGTGCTGGGAATGAAACGTGGGTTTTCTGAAGAGCTGGGTCGTTTCTCTGCACTGCTTCCTAAGCTGTTGTAACTTTGGAGAATTCAGAGCGGTCTTGACGCAGAGGAAAGAGGTGGCAAACTTGCTTTGAGTTGGAAGTGTCTGAAAGTCGAGGCAGCGACAGGTGAGGCGGTCAGGGGTCTCTTAGGGGCAGGAAGGCTTTGTTGCATGCTGGTACCCCGACGGCTTTTGTTGTTTGTTCAGAACCCACATGGCTACTGTTGAAGTAACGGGACAAATGACCTCTCCAACCTACCCCATCCTCTAAATCAGGATCTCCCCCACGCCAGACATCCCCCACCCCAAGCCCTATTGTGTGTGCGGTGCCCCCCCCCCCTTGCTGAGACCCTGAACTTCGAGTGTCCTGTGGCCGGAAAAACAGGCTGTAGGGCTGTAGGCGTGGTTTAAGGGTTGAAGGCTTGCCTAGTCTTGCACAGGGCCTGGGTTCCATCCCCAGCACTGAGGTTTGCAGCAGCCCAGGGTCAGATTCTAGCCAAGCTGCTAGCAGTAACTGCTAGGCTCGGTCGGCTGGGGGGTGGGAGGCTCGGTCGGCCGGGGTGGGGGAGGTGGGGGGCTCGGTCGACCGGGGGAGGCTCGGTCGACCGGGGGAGGCTCGGTCGACCGGGGGAGAGGCTCGGTCGACCGGGGGAGAGACTCGGTCGGCTTGTGGGGAGGCTCGGTTGGCTTGGGGGAGGCTCGGTTGGCTTGGGGGAGGCTCAGTCTGCTAGGGGAGGCTGGAGCTGCGGCTTCACACCAGCTCTTTCCACCCCACATCTCCAAACCTCTATTTTTTTCCTCTTTGCTGCCTGTTTCTGCCCCGTCACACCCTAGGCACCTACTTTTGTTTTTAATTTCCAGTTGCTATAACATAAATAGGCAGGGGGGGAAAGCCTTCTGTATTCTCTAGGTCACAGGTACATGTGTTGAATAATTCACCCCAGGTGCTGAGCTTGCTTACAGATTATAGACTTGAGGGGGAAAGATGGTTCGATGGAATGTTTACTCCGGTTTTGTTTTGAGTGGTTTTTTTTTTTTTTTTTTTTGGCAAGGGAATTCATTAATCTGAATAAACCCCCCCCCCCTTTTCTCTTTGGTTCTATTGAGAAAGGAGAGGGTACAGGTACCCATACCAGGTCAGTAAAATCCCAAGAGGATGCTCTGGCAAGGTCTGGAAGACGGTTCAGTGTCTCTTGCCTACAGATGGCACTCATCAGCAGAGGTTCCCATGATCCTTCCTGGGACTCTGATCGTGGGTCTAAGAAGGGAACACCTGGTGTTTTTCTGCACACAGACCTGACCTCAATATAAACTGGAGGACTTTTTTTTTCCTAAATGGCCTCTAGTAGGAAATATCAGTATGTAAAAACCAAAAGAGAGGTCTGCACCTGTGCTTGGATGCTGGCGTGGGTGAGAGCTGGCTGGTGGGGGGAGGGGTTCCTTGCTGGTGAAGTTTGATAAACTGTTGCAGAATGTTGTCAATTAAGGAGGCGCTTTCCTGGCTGCACCAGAAACAAGGGGCACAGTTAGGGTAGCAGGGACTGCTGGCTCATGCAGGGTCGCAAAAACAAGGAGGCTAAAACAAGGAGACTAGCAGGGCCCTTTGAGCACCCACAGTCCATCCTTTCTAGGTTCCAGTTTCCCGGTTAGAGGGGAATGTAGCTTCTGACGGACTACCCTGTTCAGCCGGTCTTTTCCACCTCAGGTGCCATTCCTTAGTCAGCCTCTGTCTGGTCACTGTGGTGAAGGAGGTTGAAGGACGGCCTCTGTCTGGTCACTGTGGTGAGGGCAGCTCTGGAGGATGGCGGGAGGCCGGCCTCTGTCTGGTCACTGTGGTCGGGGCAGCTCCAGAGGTTGGAGGATATGACTAGTCTAGTTGTCAGGAGTGTCCTTTTGGTACCCATGTTTGTGCCATGGGCCCTTCTATCCTTGGGACCGTGACTTTTCCTCCCAGTTGGAAGACCCTGCCCCTCCAGGCGTAGTTTGAGGTCACTTTAAGGATCCCGCCCTGTGACTGCTTTCTGCCTTAAACCCTTGGCCTCATGACGAACAGCCAGTTCCTCTTAGTAAGTGGGCAGAGTGACTGGCAAATGCTCTGGTCTGGATGCAGGCCCAGCATGTCTGAAACCTTGCAGGCAGAATGCAAAAGAACTCATGCATGCAACCCGTTTCAGTGATACTAATCTCAGGTGTGGCGCTTGAATAACCAGTTCTCTCCAAAAGCCTCCAGCCTGCATGTCTGGGGACCAAACAGGAGGTGGGCACCATGGACACTGTCAGCTGTGGCTGATAATGAAGCAGTAGGCTTGGCAAAGACCAACGGCCATTCTCCTTCCCTAGGGCCGTGTAACTGAGCTGGTACCTGGCGCCTAAGGAACACCTCCTGCCTCCCTCTGCAGCTCGGCTGACTGTATGATGATATTCTATCCGACATGATGCGGGGGGGGGGGGGGGGGGGAATATCCTTGAGGAAAGGGTTTCCATTCCAGAGGGAAGTCCAGCCCTTCAAAGAGCCCCACGATACAAACCTCTGTAACGACATGCTTTATAACCGGACCCCTGCAGCAGCCGCTAGCCAGTTTGAGGGAACTCCTGCAGTTGAGTAGCTGGCCATGGCACAGCTTCCTACCTCACCCCTCTACTTTGGGCTTTCTTTTGTGTGCCCCATCTCAGCTTTTCTCTGAGGAACACTCTTTCCCAGCCACCAACTTGGCTATTCTTTTTTTCTCTCTCTCTCTCCTTTCTCCAGTTTATTATGAAAGCATTGCGGTGACTTGTGCAGTGACATCATCTTAGAGGAGGGAAACGGTTCCATCCAAACAACTCTCCAGGTTTTCTGACAACAAAGAACAAAGTGGGGCTGAGATTGGAGAAGGGGATAAACCGAGCGAGCGCAGACAAATCACACAATTAAACTAAATGGTATCCCTGAAAAGAAACAGCTAGAGAGGAGGCCTGGGTACTTATTTAAAATGTTC